AGATCCATTCACTTGCAAGACACAAGCTTTGCTTTCACATGTGTCGGAGTGGTTCCTTGGCTCTTTAAGATATTCAAAGGCACGGGTCGCGGTTAGAGTATTGGAAGAAAATTTCCGTTGAAGTGTGGTAGTAGGACCCCTAACAACAGGGGTGGTGGTGGTGGTACTGTAGCAAAGTGCGGTAGTGAAGGTAATGCCATCGCCTGACCGTTGATCAATCGCAGCATATTTGGCGTCTACGCTCTCTCACGTACAAAGTGCTCTCTCGCTTCTTCTCTCGCAGCACATTGCCTGTAACACTTCATAAGACGGACGATCCACAAGGAAAATTTTAATGTTTTTCTACGAAGTATTTTTTGGCTTTTTTCTTTTGTTTTTTTTTCATGCGCATTCGGCGCGTAACTGTATCTGGAGGAGGGTGCGACATCGCGTGGTGACCTCTTATTATGCACCCGTCCGTCGTCATGGATGACCATTATAAGCGTCTACATAAAAAAGAAACTTCACGTAGGAGATTTACATTATTGAAAATCCTGCCATCTATTGTGTGAGCAAATAAGTGGAAGAAACAGAAGTCTAAGCCTACTGAATAAAGTGAAAGTGGAACAACTTTGAGGGGTCTTCTGTTCAATAATATTGCGCGGCGAAGGTAACTTTGATAAAAGCTCAGGAAATTATCAAATGAAACATACTTCGTGATGAGTCTCATGAGGCTGATGCGTTCAGGTGTCTCAAACAGGATAAAGTAGTTGTCAGTAATTCCAAACGAGTGGTAATAGCCAGGTGCCCATCTGTCTGTAGCCGGAATCGTCGCTAAGACTTCTGTCTGCTCCAAACTGTGACTGCTTGACACTCCTGTAATTTACAGTATTTTTGGTACAGATCATTCCAAATGAAAATACATTTCTATGGTGAAAAACAACACAAAAAGGGCACTGTTCAACCAACTTTACACCGAAATTTCAAAAAGTTACACCATTGCACAATTACAGATGACCGCGAGAGTACAACTTCCAAAAGAGAATGTGGTCCGCCAGGACAGAAAGCGTTTCCACACGCGAAACTAACACACTCCTCATTGGTAGTGGACCTGGGGATCTCGCAGCGAAAAAAGTTTTGCGCTACTCCCTAGGACAGAGAGCGGAAAAGTCGCTTTCTCTCCTAGGGAAACACACCTACGAAAAATCCGAAAATTTTCCACTTCAGCTGCACTCATAGGGTGGCGCCAGTGCACCACTAAATTTCGTCAAACGGACGTCTAATGGGGGCTGCATCAAAAATTGAATGCCATATTCGTGATCGGGACGCCATAAAATATCCATACATAAGTTTTAGCAGGTTCAATGGAAATACCTACTCTACCTTTCAAAAAAAAAAACGAGAAGACAATCCAGCTTTTCACGCATGTCAAGTGACTGCCCTCACCCCCCCCACCCCCTAGACTGGCTACACTCCCCCTGGCTCGGAGTTACCCTAGCTTTCTGGAAAAACTGCATCATGATGCCCCCCCCTAACTGGAATAGACCCCAACTATCATTTACTAAAAATCAGCTATCACTATGAACCACTACTAACCAGATTTACTTGGAGGCCGTCGTCACTTGTGGTGTATGGTCTGCACCCGACGCTCTTCTCGTTTTTTGGAAAGGAGAGGTAGATGTGGCGCCAAGAGGCGCCAAAGAAGCTAACGTCACAAAAGAACTTTCTTGTTCGTGATCAGGGGACTGTAACCTCCATAGGCCTAGTTTTGGAGAAATTTTCTGACCCTCTCTGAGATTGTAATAGTGCACTAATGCCAAATGGATTTTTCGTCGAAATGACAATAAACATGGCACCCGTTTCTGTGCCAGCGCCTCCTTGGTGCAACACCAGTTCTCACGTCTTACGTCATACCGTCGTCCTAAACTTACTTCATATTGTACCGTAATAAGACGTAATATTGGCGTCAAGATCAGCACATGAAATAGTTGCAACCACAAACCTTCACCAAAAGGTTTTATTCTTCTCAAAGCTCTACTAGTACAAACGCCTAGGTGTAGTAATACTCGAGTATGACGATAGTGAACAGGCGATCTATGTGAGAAAGCGACAGAAACGGAGTGAGGGCGCTGGGCTGAATGTGACTTTATCGCTTTTCGCTGCGAAACCCCAGGTTCATCCATGGTCCACGGAAGGCCCCGGGTTCCAGCAGCGAAAAGAGCTTCGCGATACGAAAAGTGGAAAAGTCGCGTCTGTCCTAGCGACCCACAATCACAGAAACGCTGACTTGAAGACCTTGCAAGTAACTGAAGAGC